GGGGGGGGGGGAAGATAGAGAAAAAGTGAGAAAGAGCTATAAGACAGCCCCCGCAGAAGACGCGGTAGGAGAAGAAACGCAAAGGAAGAAGCGACGGAGCGAGCGAGCAAGAGGAGAAGGAGGCGAAAAAAGGAGGCACGACGATCGAGCAATAAATAATACAGGGAGGAAAAAGGCGATCGCCTGCAACATTCTACTCAAATGTTAAATAGGTATCAATTTAACAGCGACCAATGCGCGCGCCCGTGGGCGTACTACGCCGTCACGGGATTGGCCGGCCGGCTGACGGTGGGCAGGTTCGAACGATACGTACGTCGCGAGTAGGCAACGCGTCTCGTTGTTCTCTGGTAGGGATAAACCACCTGGTTTCGCCGGTACTCTCACAACGTCCCGTCTCTCTCGACGCGACCGACCCGGATTCACGCACTTGCCGACACTCCGGTCAAGCCGAGGGGACCGAGTTTCAACGAAACGGAGAACGGAACGGGAATCCCCCTTCCCCGTTCGGGTGTAAACGCGCGAGCGACCTGTTTATCGTTTACCACGAAGTGCGAAATTCTTACCACCGTGCGTAGTTTTCGTCCGTAAAGTGTTTGACCCGAGAAGCTGTTCTCTTCTGACGCCCCACAATCATCCAAGAAGGACTTGTCAAGAATCCGGTTTAGTGTGATCGGAGTTTATCCGGGTATACCCCGAAGAATTTTTCCAGTACGGTGAAACGTTTTTTCTAATCGGGGTAAAGGTGGTTACCTCACGGAGTTGTAGAGGTATCCTTGTTTCTGTATAAAATGACGGTGAGACCAGCCTCGAAAGAGGCTTGTTGGTCCCCGATTTGTTTTATCGAACAAAGACGTCACTCACGAATGGATTTTAGTTTCTGAAGACGGAAATTGGTGTATCGACAGACATAAAATTGTTATTTAAATATCAAGAAGGACCGATGGCTAATCGAATCAATAAACGAAAGCAGTGGAATCCGTGTTGGACTGTTACATCTTAAACTAGTTGAGAGAAAAAAGAGCAACGACGGAGACAGTGAATTTGCATGAAAAAAGAAAAGGAAAAATTAATGTCTGATAAAATCTCCGTCCAAGGAACAAATAGTATCAGAACTCGTAGAAACAAAATGGCCGTCGCACAGAAATTTTACAAGGTGGCCCAAGCTAAATCGCTTGTGCAATAAATATAAACATTCATCATTTCGATCTTCATACAATCATAGTCTAGTCCTTGGCAAATTCTCTACGAGTCAACCACCTCTATTCAACATTCCACTCCCTCGTTCGATCGTCCTACGCAGTCGCGATCGATGTCACTTCTCGATTCGCTGTTATAGACACATGACAACTCGATGAAGACACCCGTTGTTTGAAGCACACTGTCTCCGATCACAAGCGCCGAGTTCTCGCGAGAAGGAGAGATCATGTCGGAGCACGGTGACAGCGACGTGGACGCGACGGAGGAGATCAATGTGGATGACTCGGATTCCCGAAGTTGCAGTCCGCAAAATTACGTCAGCCACGATGGCCGTCACGTGTCCCAGGAGACCTCCGAGTGTTCCACTTCGCCACCTCCCAGTCAAATCGGCGCGAGGACGCTGGCGAACAATCCTCCCCGTAGCCATCCGTTCAGCATAAGTCGTCTGCTGGGCGAAAGCGGCGTCCAGAATCCTAAGAGCCCGTCCTCGGAAGAACCAGACAGCGACAAGGAGAGGAAGTGGTCTTGGGAGGAGGGCAACAACAATAACAACAACAACAACAATAACAACAACCAAGCATCCTCGGGTGGGGTTCTCGATGATGGCAGGCGGTCTTGGGGCCACGACGCCGAGGAGAAACTATCGGAGAAGGACGACGACGACAGTACACCCGACACTCGCGCAAATTCTTCCTCGTCCGTACATTGCACGTCGGCAGCGGAACTCCTCGCCCCCTTCCGCGTCTTCACCACCGGTATTCCCGCCGCCGGTTTCATCTACACCACCGGCGGCGGCAGCGTCATAAGGGTACCGGCGCACCGGCCACCAGGCGCAAACGGCGCGTCGGTCAGCGCTTTACCCGCACAGGCGCTGATACCACCCTGGAGTTTGCAGGCCCTTCAACACAGCCAACAACAAGCCGCGGCTGCCGGTCTGCACCGGGCGAGCCTCCTGGCGAACCTCGCTGCGCACCCTCTGCAGGCGCACCCGCATCTCAAGGACAGACTGGCAGGTACGCGCGCGTTAATATACATGAGTAATTTGTGTAAGATCGTCATTGCGTAAGTTGAAGACACGCTGATGACAAGATCTGAAAACCGGCAGGTAATTTAGAGTAAAAAGGCTCACAGCTGAACGTTCTATCGCATTTGAATTGAATTTGAGTAGGAACTGGTCTCAGTAAGCAAGAAACATTTTGGAACATTTTAGCAACCTTGCTATAACGTTGCAATAATGTTGTTGAAATGTTCCAAAATAGTTTCTTGTTTGTTAGGATAGCACATAGAATCAATGTTAGTAGTAAGACGTAAACAATAAACGAATCAGCCATAATCACAGTCGAGAATGTAAGGCAATAATCCAAACAGTAGCGAATAAAAAATGTTGATTTGCTTACTTTACGTTTTTCTGTGTGCTACTAGTTTAACTTGACTTTTGCTTAAGTACATTAAATCTCTTTTCTAATAAAGAAATTAATACGATGAGAAAATGTCACCTTATATAATCGGGAGACAAATCTTTTGCTCCTTCTTACTTTTTTTTTTTAGGCTGGTAGCCTGTTTACCGAAGCAGTAGGCTTAATTTGGCTTTTGCTTAAAAAATCTCTTTTCCTAATGAAAAAATTGATGTAATGAGAAAATGGCACCTTAGTCAGGAGACAAATCTTTTGTTTCTTTTTACTTTAGACCAGTAGTTAGTTTGGTTACCGAGGCATTAACGCTCTTTATAATTCTCTTAATAATTCCTAAAAGAAGTACACATTGTCTTTGTTATTTTCTCTCTCTCTCTCTCTCTCTCTCTCTCTCTCTCTCTCTCTCTCTCTCTCTTCTCAGGATTATAGGACCAATTAATGTTAGTGTTAATGTAAAGCCAAGAACGAGAGATTTGTTTGTCAGATCAACGTACATTTAGTCTGAAAGTAGCAGCTCTCAGAAATGGAGTGACTCTCGGTGAATGCACGTTGATCATTATCGACTTCTACGGTGCTCGTTGTTAGTGTTCCGTATTGTTATCTCGTTGCGTGAGTTGTATCTTGATTTTCATGCGAGATGATATTGCCTTGAGTAAATAATGTTTTAAGTATTTTCGAGAGAGCAGCGGGGAAAACGGAAATTTAAGTATTTCATTCTGTCGGTTCTTGAAAGCGCCGTGTAATTACAAAGCCGCGAGCACCTCAATGTGCATTGTACCGAGCTTCGTTAATTTATCGCGGCGACAACGATGCTTTTTCAAGTAAAGTACTAATGCCGTAATTTTGCTAATTTCTTTTATTAAAATCTCATTGTTATGTAAAGAATTTAAAAATAGAACAGAGTACGCTGTTTAAATAATTAACGCAGGAATAAATCGATTTTTAATGATATCTAATAAAAGCAACATCTGCAGTTATTTAAGTATCACGTTTCTATAAATAATTAATTTGCATATCTATACATATTGTGGTAATCTGGCAAAAAAAGGACATTAACTATTAAACATTGGCTGAATATCTTACTTATCTTTCTCGCCATCGTGAATGCATTAGAGCTAGAGCATCTCTGTAACGAGATAACGATCGCGTATGCGATACGTGTCCGATCGAATTATACGTGTCTCCGCGTACTTGGCTAACACGATGCAGAAGGAACAGATGATTCATGCAATTAGCGAGATTGTCAGATATTATTAATTCCGCGTTATCCCCGACGGGGATTGGAGCGACGACCGGCCGCCGCCGCTCGATAGAATCGAGTGACGAAATATAAAGCGACGAGAGAGCGACGAGAGGCGTTCCCGGTTGGCGTCGGCGATCACTGATGTCAATTCCTCTAATTGGGATGGGTATATCTTTAGACAACGACCGGGCTAGGCGTGGGTCTCTACTTGGTGTCATTACTGCGCTTCGCGACTACTAACCGTATATAGAGGTTATCAATTATGCATCAGCGGCGAATTATTCACTCGCGCCGTCGTCGCGATCAGACCGGTACGAAATCGTCGAAGACATCGAGTGACACTTTAATGGTGTGCGGACAAGTCGAAGTCGTCACGTTACGTCACCTTCGCTCCGTTCGTTCGATAACCCTTTTTGTTCACTTAGTTCTAAGCGCTTAGAGATTTCTAAACGCTATTTTTATCCGACAACGGTATCGTAGAGACAGAGAATTTTGAACCCAATATTCTCATGGATATTTTAAAACTCGGCATGAAATATCAGCCGCAGAGGGTAGACTGTAGCGAATTGAATTAATGTTTGTTTATTTATATAAAAAAGTATCAAAAATATATTTTTTAATTACATTTTATTATATTTTCTTAATTTTTACAACTTTGGCTTGAGTTTCATATAACGAAACAATACGTATTGCATAACGAAAAATGAAGAAGAGAAAATTATCTGAGACGCCCCGAAATTGAGGAGGAAAACATTATTTATTAGACTGATTTAGTAAACTACACACACTGTAAAAATCATAATTACAATTTACATGAGTTTTAACATAATCATTACGTTATTACAGAGTCATAAAATTTGTGATTTTTTTGGGATCGTGAGTTTATGTGAGAAACAAAATTTTTACATGCATTCACCACGTTTGTATCGTCAACTGACACTGCAGGATCACACGTATTACGGAACTGTTTATTATTTCCGATGCAGAGGAAAGGCGCAGAAGTAACCAACATGACAAAACAGCTCATTTAAACAAATAAAAAATTTTTAATTAACAATGGATTAAAACTATTTCAAAACTAATGAGTTAATTTTAAGCAGAACCGTAAGACCCGTAACGTGTTCTCGTAAAACTTGTAAGAACTTATGACTATTCTAATTTTATGCGTATGTATCGTAAGACATACGATTATTCGTAAATATCTACAATTTCTTTTTATGGCTAGTATAAGAAGCTGTCTGTAAAAATATTGTATAAAGGTATAAGCGTTTAAAAACTCTTACAAGTCTCACAAGAATATATTACGAGCCTTACGATTCTGCTTAGAATTTCGGCATTATATTGATTCGAATCGATTCGCTCTATGATCAATTCGCCTCAATCTACGTTATACGGCGAGAGTCGGTAGAACAAAAAGAGTCTTGCGAAAACAGGAAGAGATTTCGTTTCGTATACAACTTATAAATGTGATAGCTCCGAAAAGAAACTTTACTTTTCTGTTAGCCGATGCCCTCTCATGCTTCACCCGCGTGCCCTCGAGATATCTACAATTTACAATGCAATTCGAACGTATCTGTCTCTCTTAGAAGGCATATAATTTTAATTTGCTTTAATCGGAAGAAATACGGTACGGGAAATGTGTTGCCGCGCAGGGGATCATTACGGCGCGATCATTGCACGCGGGAAAAAGGACGTAAAAGTGTAAAAAACGTTAAAATGCAGGTACGTGCAAAATACATAATTAGCGTCTACGCCGGTGCATTCTCGAATGCGCCGACTTTTTCGTGCGGGTAATGAAACCCCGCTATTACTTGCGTGGCGTGAGTGAAATGTATTTATGCGTACGAGCAACATTACTCTCGTCCGATTATTTTGTTCGAAGTACGCTTAAATGCCCCAAAGAGAAGAGCGTCGACACGCTACGGCGCGGCGCAATGAAACAAAGTAATCCTTCAAACGATGATCGTTTCCATGTAACGACGTTACGCACGAATGTCGATCATGATACGACAGAATATGCCTACGGCGATATTCGCAGAGTGTCTCGGATATCGGTTCGCCAGTTGCAGATTGCGTAAAGACCAGTTGCAAAAGTACGTCGTGTCGAAAATTAATCACTTGTCGAAACGTACATTATCCCATTAATTCACGTCAAGATTTGTGGCCGAGACGGAAACGCTTAGAAGGCCTGGAGCGGCGTCTCTCTTCTATAAAAACGCATTAATGTATCATTACAGATGGATAATATGATGCGATTTAATTTGTCTATCGAGTGAAAAAGAAAACGTCGCGAGCGATAGTAAGCGTTATAATGAACATAACATACATAATTAAAACCCTCGCGACTGTTTTCGTCACGATCGCTTAAACGAGGCGAAAATGTAAATCGCGTTTGCTGCCATTTATTTAGCATATTACGCCGATCGGATTGGCATCGCGGAACATTAGTTGGATCGATCGTGGAGCGAGAGAGAGAGAACGCGCTTTTAACTCACGTGAAATATATAAAAGCGCATAACGTTCTGTTCGACGAGCGAGCGGTAACCACCGGTTATTTGCTTTGTACCTCTTTACCTCGATTACGTCCCGCCACCTGTCACTTTGACATTGAAATGACACGCGGCGCTCGATTAGGGTCGGAAAGGGACGACTGGAAACGCCACGTTTTGCGAGAAGACACCGCGCCACGTAAATCCGTAACAATTATAAACGGGAGACAAACGCTAATTGTCTCGATTCGCTTTGACGTTGTTACGTCGGCATCGGGCTTTCGTATCGATCGAGATTGCATCGTTCTTTAACGATCGAGTCTCGAGCGCGACGGGCGAAACGAAGAGAAACTCTGATGCGGGTCCGAGAAAGGTTTCCCCGATCAATTAGACGAAACTAGCGCTATAAAATTCGAACGTAACTATTATACGGAACCGGGCTGCAATTTACGTTCAGAGAAACAATCTCGCCGATTTGACATAATGGTGTCTCGCCTCGATCGCAAGCCGAAACTCTTGGAGCCGTTTAGTCACTAGCGTAGCGCGGAGCGAAGCGAACGAGAGAGTTGTGCCACCTTTTATGGCGCCTTCAGTTTATCTCCTTTGACGTTAATCGATAACCGTAATAGTACATAAATCATGCCTTTACAGTCCGACTTATTCTTGCTCGGCCACGACAATAAGTTAATATCATATACATAATTAAAATTAATTGTTCGTGTGTGCACACGTAATTTCAATAATATAATGCATTAAGATAATTCAACTCATATAAGAATGAGGACATGTTTCTTTTTCATCCAGTTCCTGCGTCGATTAATTTTTATTATCTCAGAGAGACGTTATTATGTATCCTCTCAGGATTGTTT